TAGCTTTGCGCGAAATTCAAAAACAACAACAACAACCGTAGTTAGGGTCACTTGCCGCAAAACGAAAATCTGACTCCGCATTTTGATGCCGTGTGTGTTTTATACAACTGATGTTTAAATTCCGCTGTGTTATTAAAGTAGTCCAAGGGTTGGCAGCGAGTGCTCTTGTAAAGTCAGTTATTAATTCCTCTGATTATATACAAAAATACAATAAGTTAGATCAGGTTATCACTGGAATTAAATAGTCTTTAAAGTCTTGAGACTTAAAACTATCCAGTTTGTAGTAAAATTAATTTTGTTATTCAAACTGTACAGTGAAAAAAAAAAAATTCTAAGTAGGTAACTACCCCCAAATTACTAACAACTGGAAAACTTTTTTTTTATACGGGTACAGCTTCATATGTTTCCATTTTTTATTTCTTTTCTCGATTATAACCCAAATTTCTTATGTTTTCCAACTCCAATAAAAATCCTTATTTCTTGTTTGTTGACACAGGATGGTTAATCAAATCACCTTCTTAACTTGTTTATTTGAGTGACTTCCCTTTTAAGGCACTTAGCAGTTGGCCTTTGACGCTTTTAAAACTTTTAAGGCACGTAGCCGTTGGCCTTTGGCGCTTTTAAAACTTTCAAGACACGTAGCAGTTGGTCTTTGATGCTTTTAAAACTTATAAGGCACGTAGCTGTTGGCCTATGATGTTTTAAAAACTTTAAGGCACGTAGCTGTTGGCCTTTGATGCTTTTAAAACTTTTAAGGAACGTAGCCGTTGGACCTTGATGCTTTTAAAACTTTTAAGGCACGTAGCTGTTGGCCTTTGATGTTTTAAAACTTTTAAGGCACGTAGCAGTTGGCCTTTGAGGCACGTAGCCGTTGGCTTTGATGCTTTTAAAACTTTTAAGCACGTAGCAGTTGGCCTTTGAAACTTTTAATACCATCAAAACTGCATTAGATTCTAGTTCAATTCTATCAAAGTGTATATACATACGGGTGTTGATATAATAACCAACAATTCTATACTTATTTTTCGATTATTTTTCTTATAGGTAGGAGCCAATCTTTTCTTGTTTTTCTGCGTTAATGTTCTAGGAGTTGTATCCTTCTTTTTTGCTGAACGGCAGCAGAGGCAGGCCTTCTTAGAAACCCGCCAAAGTCTAGAGGCCAAATTAATTCTAGAGGAAGAATCTCAGGAGCAAGTACGTCATTTTTTGTTTTCATGTTTGTTTGTTTTTTTATTAAAATAACTACAGTTTTGTGTATATTTTTTTTCTCATTTAAATTCTCAAATTCTAAAAAGAAACAAACGGATAATACTTTAATTCTGGTTACATCATACCTCATTAATTAGCTTTCTATGTTCGGTAATTTGGAGAAAATACAGACGTAGCCGCTTGTGTGGGAGTGGTTCTTGTCTCTTGAAGTAGAATCTTAAAATATATACTTTCATATCCGGCTGATACCAACTAAATTAGTCCTCTGGTGGAACAGGAGTAAGCTAAAATCCGCGGTTAGATTGTTTTGTTTGTTTGAAGTTATGCACAAAGCTACACAATGGGCTATGTGTGCTCTGCCCACCACGGGTATCAAAAACCGGTTTCTAGCATTGTAAGTCCGCAGACATACCGCTGTCCCACTGGGGGGTCCGCGGTGGACACAGCAGATAGCCCAATGTGGATTTTGCTCTAAAAACAAACATAGAAACTAGATTTGTTCAGCGTTAAGGCTAACAACGCTGAAAAATCGAGCTTCGTTATCCGTGATGGGCAGAAAACAGATAGCCAAACTACCAAACCTAAAGAAATCAACTAGACCGTTTAATTAACTCTTTCTGCAGTCAATGCTAGCACAAACACTACATATTATCCCATTATCGGGAATCGTTTTCAACTCGTGTCGTCTATTGTATTTTTATCATTAGTATCGCCAACTTACCGTACCCTTCATATTTAAAAAAATTCGCTGAAATTGCTGGATTCTCGCGTATCTTGTGTCTCAGTATTATAGCTCTCTTAAATTAAATCCGGGTTTCGATACCCGTGGTGGGCAGAGCACAGATAGTCCATTGTATAGCTTTAGGCTTAATTACAAACAAACAAACAATCATAACTTGATTTTAAAGTAAACATTCTATAGAAGCGATTAAATTTTTATCTCTCATTATTGCGGTACCTCTTTATATATACACCTGGAAAAAAGTTAAGCACCCCAAATATTTTTTCAGGATTGCTTATTGAAAATAAGGTTTAATTTTCATGATGTTGAGCAATGTTCATAATTTCAAACATAATTAAAAGGATGTGAGCGTTCAGGTGTGACATTTAAATCAGGCGCGT